TCTGGGATATGGGGAAGATGTTAAATGGTACAGACTGTGGGTCAAGTGCCAAAATGGTTTTAAAGTAATTGTTAGTAGAAATGTCATTTTTAATGAAGATGACGTGCCTTGTTATGAATCATCAAATTATAAATCTACTGAGACTATATCTGTTAAAGAAACTGTTCTGGAAAATGAATCTGAAAATGCTATTGTTCGAGATGATTTTATTGAGGTGGAGTCTACTCAAACTGACATTCTTCCTGATCCAACTGAATCTGAAACTAAGCTTAAACCCTCTACTCTTAGTAATTACCAGTTAACCAGAGATAGAAAAAAAGAGAAATAAGACCTTCAACTAGATTCAACAATGATGAATTTGTTACCTTATTTCCTGCTCTTAACTCTGTGAATTCAGAACTTGTTTCCTTTGATGATGCTGTTAATTGTTCTGAATCTGAACTCTCAAAAGAGGCCATGAATGAAGAAATGGATTCTCTGATTAAGAATAGAACCTGGATTTTGGTTGATAGACCTGAAAATAAAAAGGTTGTTGATTGTAAGTGGATATAAAAGATAAAATAGGGGATTCTGATTCTGAAAATAAGAGGTATAAAACTAGATTAGTTGCTAAGGGTTTTACTCAAAAAGAAGGAATGGACTATAATGAGATTTTCTCACATGTGGCCAAGTATACCTCCATCAGAATTCTGTTAGCTCTTACTGCTAACTTTAATTGGGAATTGGATCAGCTTGATTTTAAAACAGCCTTTCTGAATGGTGATTTGAATAAAACTATATATATGAATCAGCCATTGGGATTTGAGGAAAAATCCAAAACTGAAAAGGTTTTTCTGCTGAAAAAAATCTTTGTATAGGCTGAAAAAAGCTCCCAGGCAGTGGTGTATCAAGGTCAATTCATATGTTCAGAAATAGGGTTTTGTAAGAAGCAATTATGATTCTTGTTTATTTTTCAAAGGGCCAGGTGGACCTGAATCTATCTATTTGCTCTTATATGTGGATGATATGTTACTTGCATGCCATGATAGATCTGAAATTGATTTTATTAAATCCAAGTTGAAATCTGAATTTGAAATGAAAGATTTGGGTGAAGCTAAAAGAATACTTGGAACGGAAATCACTAGGGATATAAATAATTGTATTTTGTTGTTGAAACAATGTTCCTATGTGAAGAAAATACTTGACAAATTTTCTATGCTTGAGTGTAAACCTGTTTCTTTACCTATTGCCAATCATTTTAAATTGACTAGTGATCAATCACCTAAAACTGAAGAATTTTGTAGAATGCAAAATATTCATTATGCTAATACTATAGGCTCAATTATGTACTTAATGGTCTGCACCAGACCTGTTTTGGCTCATGGTATTAGTAGCTTAAGCAGATTTATGTCTAATTCGGGTAAAACTCATTGGTTTGCTGTAAAATGGATGCTGAGATATTTAAAAGGTTCATTTGAATTAGGTTTAGAATTTAAAAGAAGTAAAGAAGGTATAAACTTAAAAGGTTACACTGATTCAGATTTTGCTGGTGATTTAGATAATAGGAGATCTACATCCTCTTATATTTTCACTTTGTGTGATTAATGTATTAGTTGGAAGTCACTGTTACAAAAATTGGTTGCTTTATCCCCAACTGAAGCTGAATACATTGATGTATGTGATGTTGTGAAAGAAAGTATG